GAAGGAGAAGGAGAAAAACAGGAGGAAGGGGAAGGGGAAGGAGAAGAGGAGGAGGGGAGGAGGAGGAGGAAGGGGAAGGAGAAGGGGGAAGGAGAAGAGGAGGAGAAGGAGGAAGGGGAAGGAGAAGGAGAAGAACAGGAGGAAGGGGAAGGGGAAGGAGAAGGGAACAGCAGGTTTCAAGGAGGAAATAATGCAGTTTGTGGGTGCCGTTGATGAAGGTGAAATTCTATCCCCTTCAGAGGTGACAAACTTGTGCCACCAGGATAATCAGTGTGCATTTAGCTGGTGACCAAATTCAGAACTACTCTTCTGTCAGGTAAGGAGCTACTTCCTTGCCATTGTATACACACCACATTCCCAGGCAAACCACGTGGGCCAGGGGGTCCTTCAGGTCCAGGGGTACCCTGTTAAAATAAATCATAGCCATAAGTTGAAGAATATATTGATGGTCATCCCTGACATTTATGTAAATTTGATCCCAGTGTTATTTATTTGTTCATTTCAATCTATTGGCCACTCAACTCCTGTGGACTTTCTATATAAATAAGAGAAAGGGGTGGACTGTAACACAGAATCACTGTTATGCTTTGTCTGCTCACTATATTTATTTACTAGGTTTATTCCCAATATCAACATTGCAGGTATTGAAAGGTTCTTAAATATCCCAGTGTTTATTTAACCTTGATCTACCTGGAAAAAATATTCTTAAAGCCGCTACTTACAATTTCTCCTGGAGGTCCAGGTAGACCCACTTCCCCTTCTTCTCCTTTCAGACCCTAAAGACAAGAATCAAGGGTTCAGTCTAGCAGATAGAAGAATCAAAGATGCAGAAGCTCAGGCAGTCTATAAAGCAAGTTGACCTCATGCCAAGGAAGCTGTGGAAGGATATTCTGTCTAAAAGATAATACCACCTGTACATCAAGCTGAGATACTTAGGTCTTTATCATCTAATTTTAAAGGATGGTATTTGTTCAAAAGGAACTGAAGCAAAAGGAAAGGAGAAGTGTTAAGGGCATCCATTCCTGCTTAGCAATCCATGTAAATGAACTCGGAGACGTGATAAAAATAACAAAAGTTATAATGTTGTTGGTCACAACAACCTGGCCAACCATCTGGCCAACCAAGGAGAAGACACAGATGATACTTTCAAACACACATGGCATATCGTTAAAAAAAAAAAATGAAGAAGAAATAAAATTATATTTATGGAAGATTTTAATTACTCTGATATTTTCATAGTGATCGTAACAATTATATCGCATTTTCTATGATCACCAATTGATTAAGGAACCTTGGTGGAGCAGTGGTTAGAGTGCAGTACTGCAAGCAACTCCTACTACAATTTGCCAGATCAAATCCTACCAGGTTTAAGGTTAACTCAGCCTTTCATCCTTCCGAGGTGGGTAAAATGAAGACTCAGGTTGTTGGGGGACATATGTTGATTCTGTAAACCGCTTAGAGAGGGCTGTAAAGCACTATGAAATGATGTATAAGTCTAAGTGCTATGACTATTTTCCTTCTTTCCTTCCTTCCTTCTTCCCTTCCCTTATCCATCCATCCCAGCTCAAGGTTGACTCAGCCTCCCATCCTTCCAAGGTGGGTAAAATGAGGACCCAAACTGTTAGAGGCAAGAAGCTGA